GTTTAATATGTAAAAAACGTTGAAATTCAACCTAACCGTGGTCGTTGTTCCCAAATAAGTAAAGCTCCGCGTCAAGAGGCCTTGATGCATATCCAGCGAAAAAGAAAAATCTTTGATCTTGCTGGTTGCTAGATCCAGCTTTTCGCCGTTAATATTAATGCCGATGCCAATAAAACTGGGGGCATTGATGGACTTGCCAAAGTACTTGGGATAACCATTTTTCCACCAGCCCACTCGTGTCTTATCCGGAAACCAAACTCCAGCCAAGTAGGTTCCTTGCAAGCTATCGCCTGAATAACCCTCTTCAAAATTACCGCGCATCCCCATGTAATCATTACCAATTGACGTAATGCTTTCCTGCAGACGTTTATCTGCCGGATTAAACTCATGCGTAGTAACTTGCCAAGGATTAATCTCAAAAATCCGTTTCATCTGCTTATCTCCTCTTGTGCGGTTTTGTTTACGCTTTCATTATTCGCTAAAATGGAGCATCTTTGCAATCCAAAATCCTCTGTTAACGGTATCAAAATAATTACGAAAAAAGCAGCAAGCTTTCTTTGCCTGCTGCTTAGATATTATTCAACTTCAATTGCAATTCCCTTGGGCTTTAACAATCCATTGGCAAAGTTTTGCTGTAAGATTGTTTGCCCCGTAAGTGCGATATTTTTGGTAGTTGTGTTGAATATGCCGTAATTTTGACGTCTTTTGTCCGAACAACTTTAATTAAACCGGTTGCAGTAACAGTTAAAGATATTTCACCTTGGCCCAAGGTATCTGCGTATTTTTTCCGAAAGGCAATTAATTGCTGTACCTGCTGCCAAACTGCACTATTTTTCTTACTCCAATCCATCGGCTTACGGCAATCTGGATCATTTCCGCCAGTCATGCCCATTTCGGTGCCGTAATAAATGCACGGACTGCCAGTCTGCATAAACATAAAGGTTAACGCCTGCAAGGCCAATTCTTGATCACCCTGTGCCAGTGTTAAAATTCGGGCGGTATCGTGAGAATCTAGCATATTCATCATGGCTTGGTTAGTGCTATCGCGATATAGCATTAACTGATCAGTTAGTGCCGCAACCAATGCTTGCGCCGTTTTCGTTTTCTTAAAAAAGTGCTCCTCAATCTGCAAAGTATACGGATAATTCATTACAGCAGTGAACTCGTCGCCATTTAGCCATGGTCTAGCGCTGTGCCAGATTTCACCAACAATATAAAAATCCGGCTTAATAGCGGTCAGAGCAGCATGAAATCTGCGCCAAAAATGATGATCAACTTCATTTGCCACGTCAAGCCGCCAAGCATCAATGCCGAAATATTTTACCCAGTAAGTGGCAATTTCTAAGAGAAAATCCTGCACTGCCGGGTTGGCGGTATTAAGTTTAGGCATGCTTGGTTCAAAGGCAAAAGTATCATAATTGGGCATTGCTTTTTGACCAGTTTGAATAGGGTTAACCGGAAATTGATTAATGTGAACCAGTCAGCAAATTTTGATTTCGCACCGTTTTTAACTACATCTTGCCACTGCAATGATTGACTACCTAGGTGATTAAAAACGGCATCAAGCATCACGCGCATCCCCCGCTTATGTGCCTGCTCAACTAGTTCGGCAAAAAGCTGTTTGTCACCAAAAGCAGGATCAATTTCTAAATAGTCAATTGTGTCGTATTTATGATTGGAACTTGCCTTAAAAATGGGGCAAAGATATAGTCCTGTAACGCCAATTCTTGCAATAATCTAAATGGTCGATGATTCCCTGCAA